GTTCAGAATTAAAGTTAAAATCGATTAATCATAATTTAACGAAAGAACGTTTCTGTGATTCAAGTCCATCTGTATCACGGTCATAGAATACTAAGGTAACACGGAGCCGAAGCTTCAAGCCAGGGGACACGGGAGGCATGCCGTCAGCTGTCCATTTATAAATAATCGGTTTCTTTGAATTAATTTCTAATGTTTTTCTGATGTTTTGCATCAATGAGGTACATCACAAATTAAGTTTTATTTTTTATGAGGTCGAAAATATTTTGTTGTCCAAACTATTCCCGTTTAAAGAAAATAGACAAGGGGAGAGTTTACCCAGGACCCTATGGAGAGAGTTTACCCAGGGCCCTATGGGAGAGAGTTAACACGGGCTTCTATGGGGCGAATTCGATGCAACAATGGCGCAGTAGCGACATTACTCTTGTTCGATGTTTTCCGGACGACAAAGATTCTACGCCATTTGGCCAATCACATTCCATAATTGCAGCCGAGCCCCCGTTGATCTAGAACGGGATTGGCCGGACGACGTACAATCTTCGTCGTCTGAGAGACATCGAACGAGGGGTACATCGACTGAATATACATTGCGATTCAATATTCAGTATTTTATTACCGTGATTGCAATTTGCATTTGAGCTCAGCAGTCGAGTGTGGTGCCAAAAATACCAGAAGCGATATCCTATACGGCCTTGACCAGAAGTGTTGCATGCCCTGGATGCAGAAAAACAAGATTGAGATGAGTGGATCAAGATGTATCTTTCGTGCAGATGTATCAAGATCCTTTCACTTAAGATCCATGCAGGTGAGGTTCCAGGTTCCAGTGAAATTTGAATTCGATAGGTAGCTATTTTTTATTTTGCTTTGATACTTGTGGTAAGGAAACATGATTATGGTTGCATGAACTGCCCACTGCTCATTGCTGTCTTGTCTCATGTTCGATATCCGATCACCATTCTTAAATAGCTCACCCCATATGGAAATCAGGTTTCAGGAGGCCACTAGGCTTGTGGGGCCTGGTCTCAATGAGCTCCCAGTGCTAAGGACAGTCAGGCTCATATGTTGGGTAAGGTCAGGTTCAGGTAGGCCAGTATGCACTCTGCAAAGCATGGCAATTTCGACAAGATCTCGTCTGTGCTGGCTTGTCCGGCTGGTGAGGCTTTGGTGTGGCGTGGATTTAGCTTGGTGCAGTGCGGATTTTGTGTAGCGCGGTGCAGATTTGGTCTGGTGTGGTCAGGTGGTGTGGTGGGGGATGTAGTGTAGTGCATTTTAAATGTGGCTGATAGGTGTGCGGTGGTCAGAACGGACTGTGCCAGTGCTGGTGCCTGGTGGTCCCACCAATCACGGGGGTCATCTCCTGTTGTGACCCAGGGGGTCTAGTCAAAACCTTACCTTTTTCTGCTAACCTAAACCTATTTCTTACAAATTAGGCAAAAATGTGATTATGGTATAATGATAATTAAACCTGGCCCTTTTTCAGGCGCAAGCTTTGGATAAACTTCTGCTTCTGCGGTCGGCATTCTTACAGGAGAACCCAAGATTCACTGTACCTACCTGTATGCATTTCAAAACTGAATAATTGATAGCAACAAGTAAATATTTGAAGTTGCAGCCAAATGCTGTGCCTTCTCTGCTGCAAGAGCTACATGTCACCATTGAAGCAAGGTAAGTAGGTATTAAAAGAAATTGTTCACCTTCTGTGAGTAAGTTGATGAATAAAATTTAAAAAGGTGTGTTAAAAATGTGATGAATAAAATTTAAATGTATTCTAACTTGGAATTACACACTTCTTCTAAAGGGATTTCATTATTTTAATGATTAGAGTGAACACTAACAGCTGAACAACCTATCAGCTGCAAGGGATTCTGCTCCTGTAAGTGCTCTCATCGCTGATTGGCCACTGTGTGTGTTGAAGAGGTTTCTGCTTGCTGTAAATGAGCACTAGAACATGAATTTAAGCACCAATATTCACTGATAAAAGGTGAATATCTCAAACGGTTCAAATATAAGGCATACACAAATCTGCTCTATCAGACTGCTATCTCAGTTTAAAATCCCATGTTAAAGGTGAACTATTTCCTCGACAGGACCAGCTCGACTCCTGCAGTAGGAGTCCAGCCTCGTCCAGTCGTCGCCGCTCGCCAAGACCAGCCGTACTCCTGCAATAGGGGTCCAGGCTGACCCGTTCGTCCAGTAACCGCCGCTCGTCAGCACCAGCTGGGCTCCTGTAGTAGGGGTCCAGCCTCGTCCAGTCGCCGCCGCTCGCCAAGACCAGCTGGGCTCCTGTAGTATGGGGCTAGGATGGCCCGTTCATCAACCGGTCCTGAAGTCACATCGCTGTCAGCCAGCCGAACTCAGTACATAAGTCACCAACCCTGAATGTTGCCAGCCAAAGTCGGCAGTTTCCTTCGGACAGTCATCTCACCAGTGTTGTACAGTGTACGAGGTTAGTGACGCAGTTAAATGCGTCAATTAAAGGCGAGGACGTGCGCTTGTATGCAGCGTTTTGTCATGTTGAGCTGCATTGGTGTCGATTTTCACCGAATTGAGGGTGCCCACTGCCCGGGCGCAGCAAATCCGCCGCTGCCTTAGCGGTGACCTTGACCTGCACCGTCTGTTGGGGCTCCAAAGCCAAGCCAGCCGAGCTGGCGGGGAATTTAAAGAGCTTGAGCACCCCCAACCCGGCGGAAATTGACACCTATGTTGAGCTGTATGGATGCGTTTTAGCCTTCCGTCTTGGTGGTAAATAGCAGCCTACATGCAGAATTAGGCAGTCTTATTAGCGGACTCATTATTGGATTCATTGTGTCACGTTTGTCGGCACGTGTAAGATGTGCTTAACTGCCATTGGCTCTCGGCCTGGCGACTTCTGGGGACCACGTACTGGGGATGACAATTGGGATCCTGTGCCTTAAGCCGGCCATTTACGTCCATGGCTATATTCCCCCGTACTAGGGCTAGTTATGACGTATATAGGGATCCACGAGATCTTTTTTGATGAATGTGTTGTGCAGTGTTGAGATCCGCGTGTAACGTCACTGTTTGGCCAGTCTGCCCTCAAACGCGTCATCTTTACTCGTATTTTATTTACTGAACGCTTTGCATGGTCCAGTGGTTTATATAGACATCTTCCTTGCACTAGCTAGTTTTATGTGGCCAGGTTGATTGCCTGTCAGCGCGGTCACGCTGTCGTCTTTCGATTGGTGCGCTTAAATGCGGCGAGATGAATATAGGATTTCCTTTGATGCTATTTAGTACCTGCGCCCAGCTCAACTGGGGAAGGGGGGGGGGGCACTGCCGACTTTTGGTCCCATTCTTTCCATGTAACGCCCATAGAGCCCATGTTAAAATGCCAAAATCAAAGGGGGCACGGTGCCCCGGTGCCCTCCCCGTTCCGCCGCCTATGCGCGAAAGTACCAACTACCAACAGTTTCCAGTTGTTTGTGTCCCAATGTTTTTTTATGAGTTGGACGATTGGGCTTTTCCCATCGCTCGTTATGCAATTATTTTGTTAAACGCTCTAAAATTGTTTCTCTACAAGTCATTAGAACTTAGAAGCAAATAGATATTGATGGATACGATCTCAAGGGGGCCGATAAGAAGGAAGAGCGCGCGGCGCAATGATTGTGGAGCACAGCACACGATAAATGTGAGGCGCATTTAAGCGAGAAATAACTTCATTGAACAGAAATGAGCAGAGTACCAGCATTGAAACTGCACCAGTACCAGCATTGAAACTAAATATAAGATATCTCAGAAGGTTGCGCTTTTGGGGCTGAGTTGTGGTGCTTTACGCCGTACATCATGCTTAATGAATGTGACCGTCGTGTTTGTGGGATCACCGTCGGTACTAGTCAGCCCCAGGAATCGTGGTAGATCATAAAGACAATCTTCGCCTCCGGTTATCATTTTGATATATCTACGAAACGGGTACTGGGTGGTACACGAAAGCAGCTTTTTCAGGTGACTTGAAATGGGAAGAGGTTCTTTGAATTACCATTTCGGACCATGGTTCTAAAAAGCGCTAGTTTAAAACTATTGTTATAATTCCTATCGTAAACCATCGGACGCTCGACGCTGCATTGGCATTAGTACGGTGTGCCGGTAATCGATTCGCTCGCCGAGAATGATAACGTGGAAGGTTTACTGATATGTAGGATTATCAAATAAATGTAATAGAAACGATATTAAATCCACTACCTCTTTAGAAGCTCTTGAAATAAACCTGGCTATCTGGTTGTCGAAGCCAGGCAAATTATATGCTTGGAATGGCTAAATGTCCATTGTCCATGACATCATTAAATTGAATTATTTTCCTTTTTAGCACTTAAAATACATTTCAGCGACACAAAACTCCCAAAAGTCTGATATCTTGCCCGTGGTATCGTGGTACGATCGGCGAGTACCTTCCTACGCAATGTCCATGGCTATGCGAAGTCTAAGGTTGGCCTACATAAGCCTTGGGTTGGCCTGTTTATCCTGTTTCATATCGTATCTATGAAAATAAAGTGTTCACGATCGCATAGCCAAAGTGAGAACAAAATATTTATTTGCAAAACTCCAGCAATACCCCTCGCCTGATACTATAAAAAAATATTGCACACGATCATGCGAAGCCGTGAATCCTACCGCCTTTATTTAGCGCCGGCGTTCCCGCATTAATAATTTCTCCTGAATCGGAGGACCAATAATCAGCTGACGCACCGTTGTTTTGATGTCGGCGGACCGTGCCAGCCTGATCTGTATTCTCTCTTTTTTAGCCCGACATGCTCTGCAAGACCATTTTAAACAGGGCGAGCTGTGTCACGTGACAGACACCCAAATAGCACATCTGCTGCGTGATTCGCAACAGGAAGTGTATAATTGTGTCGTGATGATTACCTTCTCATTGGTGTCAAAACTTGGTCAAAACAAGGATAGGAGTGGTGTTTGTTTTCACATAACTCTGAAACACCGAAATGCGAGAGCACGCAAGTGAAATGTATTCATGTATTTCTACTCACCGTTATTGTATTTGACTTCGGTCATATTTACGCCTGATCTGAAAGCAAAAAAGAAAAAAAGAAATTAAAACAGGTCTCCCGAGCCGGCCACAGTCCCAGTCGCGTCACGTGCACGTCTGTCCGGTCGGGCCCCTCGTTACCCTACCGTACACATACCCACCCCTGCCCCGCCCACTGTCGTTTGACCGTGCGACCATCCCTCAGAGGACCGACTGCGCGGGACGCGCCGCGGGCAAGGTCAGGCCGCCTGCCGACCTCAGGCACACGCACACACACACTGCTGTCGGTCGGTCGCGGGGATCTCGTGAGTTTGTTATTGTGGTTTGGGAGCTCGGGTAGGTAATGAACCGTCACTGATCTGCGTGTGCTGAGCATTGTGCGTGATTGGATTTGGGAGCGGTTTCGTGGTTGGTTGGATGGGCACGGGATAGGATGCTGTGAGTCGGTGGATGAAGCGGTGCTATATTTCCTGACTTAGCTTGTATGCTATTTCCCGCTTACCAACCGAATCGCCCTTTTAGGACGCTATATATCTGACTTAATGAGAAACATGTAAGGCATTATGCTTGGTAAACATATGAATCCTGAGTACCAGCAAACCCGCTAAGCAGAAAAAGACTTGTGTATAGCAGGGCACAGACACGAATGGTTAATGTTTACGGTATGTGTAAAAAGCGCTACAAGTAACCATTTCATCGTTGCTTGACCCTGTTTGTAGCATCTGAACTATCTGATGCTTACATTTAGACTCAGTCACATTTGCTTCCACAAATGGGTTAAACTCATGACTTTACTTCCATTTGCCAATAGGGGAATGCTTTTTGATAGTAAAGGTTGGCGTGCTTCGTATTAATACGCATTGCTGCACTAACAAAGATAAAAAACACCTGAGCAATTATATATGCCGAATGAGTGATATGAGTGCTTATGATTGCTTAGTCTTCATTGAAAGCCTCGTGTCTGATATATCAAGTGGACGCACCGGGGACATTGATAGAGCAGACATCATGTCGTCTGTCTGTCTGTCTGTCTGTTGTCGCGCTCTCAGGAAGCTCGTCCGATCCACATAATGAGGCCCACTTGACACGGTTTGGTGTGTGTCCGCCGATAGTGTGTGGGGCCGGAGAGTGATTCGGAATTTCCTTCTCCGCCGATAGTGGGCAGATTATGTCCGGTGGGACTGTCACCGGGCCGGGCCGACAGATTGGGTCTGTATCTACATCATAAGGAGACGGTGTGGACTGTCACATGGAAACGCTGGCACTGTCACATGTAGACAGTATCACTGTCAGTGGATGTGCAGATTAAGTTTGACACAAGGAGACAGCGTGGTAGCAGCAGGGCCGGTAGATTTGGTCCCTCTTTCATGAATGGGAGACGGATTGTTCTATGTATGTAATATGTATGTATGTATGTAAATGTACCAAAATACCGTAACATAGAGTACCTACTAAATACCATTTATATATCGCAATATAGGTACCAAAATACCATAATATACCGTTATATAAGGCGAATAATGTACCGTCACATATAACCAAAGTCATACAACAGTGTCATATAGGTACCGATGACGTATCCAACACCTATGATGAATGTTGTTTGTCTTTATGTGTCTATATTTTCGATATTGTGTCTACATTTTCGAAATTTTCGAAATTGGTTTCCCAATTGGACATTGGGAAAATCCCGGACGATTTTCGAAATTGTTTGCACATATGCAAGTTCACGATAAGCTGGATTACGTTGAACGATCAACTACATCTTTGGGAATTTTGATTTTTGTTGGCACCCTTAGCTAGAAACAATAACTAGCAAAAACAAAAGATAGAAAAAAAGACCAGTTCCACTGCCTTTTGGGGTTGGTCTTTTTGGGGAGGCACATTTGTTATTCCGACAAAATTCGCTCAAGAGGACTAAATCAACGTTAAGTAACATTGTTTTTCGCCAGCCATTGCTGGCCAATCTAAGTTCTCTGCCAGATAATCATCTCATAGCGCTGTATAACGTTATGTTTAGTGCTGAATAAATATATGTAATAGTATTGCATGGCTGCTTCACTGCAGTATGATGAGACCCAGATCACAGATGAAGAGCATATCTGCTAATGTCAACACCGCGCCCGCCCGCCGCCCACTGGATACGCTAAACATGGTGCATAACTGCATAACTGCATGGTGTCTCGGAGCCTCTCTGCCCCTCCGCGCCTCAGAAGTACCTATCGATGAATTGAATTGGGCCCCGTTTCAGCAGGTCGCCTGTATGGTGGGCGGGTCACGGGAATGCTAACAGCTGCAGTCTCAGAGGGAGCTCCCAGCGTCACGCGGCGGACAGACACCGCCTTATCAGATTGGCTGAGCGGTATTGCAATGTTTGGCGTTCAATATGTAGAAAGGATCCATATGAGTAAGGCTGAATGCGTTCTAATTGTTTGCCTACTTGCTTTGACCGAGGTATAACGGATTGTGTATTATCTGGAGAAGTTTACCTTGCGACCATGCGGATGAAAATGGCGTCGTTTAGGTCTATTACAAATGCCTACCTATGCCATACACAATGCACAATGCACATTGTACATCGCACATGTTGAGGTTCGTCCTCAACCTCCATGCTTTAGGTGTGGCTTAGGTATAGCAACTTGGTCCTTTTCCTATCGTCATTTGCAGAACACCAATCTCTCATTGATTACGACCAGACCACCGCTTCATACTGGATTCTCTCTTATGCGTAGTCGTGTAATAAGACGTAGTAGTAAGACATTGGAAAATACTACTAACTAGTAGTAGTAGTATGCGTAGTAAGACATTGGAAAAAATCAGAGTCCTGGTCAGTGCCTAGCATAGTATGCAAACTAGGGTTACCCGCGTGCTCCGCAACGCGAAGGGGGGATTTTTTGACCCGTGGGTATTGGGTTGGTCTGTGTCGATTTGGTTGGTAGATATCCATTTCGTTCGATTGCTTTTTGACGGCCAAGCATTTTGTAAGAAAACAAAAAGATACATCGCATCGAGGTGCCCGTGTCGTATTATCATGCGTTCTACTTAAGAATGATTCGAAAACTGGCGTGAAGTCTTTTGAGGGCCATCGCTGAATTTCGCTAAAAATCACAATGTAATGGTTTGAAACATTTACATTTTTAAGAATACTGTTGCTAATCATGCAAAAATGAAGAGTGAATATTGGACAGAATTGAATGCTCTATCCAATGGTACCATATTCAATTGCCAGAGGTATCAGGTTATGCAGCAAACCCCGTGTGATTAATAAAGTGGCACAAAATTGACAAACACCATTTTCCTCCTGTGATTTGCACCACCTTGATTTGGATCAATCAGCTTTTCACAATTTTTATATGAGAGGCGGTACCTTTCTCTTGCAAATAGGCGTTGATTCAACTCGCTCCATTTAACGGTCACCTAAAAATAAAATTAATTCCAAAATCCCTCAAAAACCGCAATTTTCAAATAAAAAAGCCCTCTCCGGTGCACGTGGCGCGTGCTATCCTCTGCATTGCACACCATTCAATAGCCCGTTCAATTCTGTACACGATGCTGTTTTCCCCGTGCCGGTCGGACCCCTGGTCACCAAGATATTGCACGGGAACTGGACCCGTGTCGGCCAAAATTAGCCGTTTTCGCCCGATTTCGCACGCCGATTTATACATGTAAAGTCTATGACGCGAATTTGCACTTTTTGAGCACGCGCCACGCGCTCCCTATCAATCCGATCGAGCTGAGACCCCTCAAAGGCACGTCGCGCATCCTTGATCTATAAGTTGTGCAAATTTCACCGGGCTAGGTGCAACGGTCTGGCCTGTAGTCCACGCAAAGCACGACCAAGTCGGGACCTCGGTAACGGACAGACGCACCCTCCTCAAATAGTAATATAGACAAGCGGCTGCGCCACTTGCTTTGCTGCGTGGTAGGAAAAAAATTGCGGCACCAGCCAATTCGCTTTCGAATGGTGTTTGATTCATGTCGATGTGTCATCTAGAAGCATAGGTATGGACGGAAATGTGAAGAGAATTTAAAAAAGAACTGTTCTGAGGGCGTTGTTGGATGAAATTTGGGTGATACGTGGTCAAGACGGGTCAAAGGGGTCAGCCCCGGTCACTTTGGGTCAGGCCAGGTCACATAGGTCACCTCTCGTCCGCTGGGATCAGCCCGGGCCACTGTTCTGCTTTTGCCTCCACCACTACCCCTACCCCTACCACTACCCCTACCCCTACCACTACCCCTACCACTACCCCTACCACTACCCATACCACTTCCCGCTACCACTACCCCTACCCCTACCACTACATCTACTCCTACCCCTACCCCTACCACTACCCATACTCCTACCCCTACCACTACCCCTACCACTACCCCTACCACTACCCCTACCACTACCCCTACCACTACCCCTACCACTACCCCTAGTACTATCCCTACTACTACCCCTACCACTACTACTATCCCTACCAGTCCCCTACCCCTACTACTACTCCTACCACTACTCCTACCCCTACCCCTACCCCTACCCCTACCACTACCCTACCACTACCCCTAACCCTACCCCTACCAACACCGCTGGGTCATGTCAGGTCACAGAATAATTGGATCCAATCAGTACTAAAATATCAGACTTAAAGTGTTCCCAGCCCTGCCCCTATTCGTGCCATTCCATCACGCTTAATCGTATTTGTCGGAAATGGCGCATTGTGACAAATGTGGCGCATTGCGGCAAACGTGGCGCATCTGAACCTGTTGTTTAAGCATGCATCCTGGCACCAAATTGCACCCATATCGGACCATATTTGACAAAACTGTGCGATTTGCGACTAAAATGAAGCCTTCGGACATATGTGGCGCATAGCGGCAAATGCGGTGCATTTGTATAATCGTATCACAAATTGTTCCCATTGAAAAAAACCGATACATTCTCTCGCCACTTTTTATTCAAATTAAAACTTGGCCATCCGCCAATGCGAGGCACCCGCCGCCGATCGGCATGCATTTAGTTCACAAAGTTTGTCGACCCCGGCTCTCAATGA